CAATCGGTTCCAGGGGCTGTAACTTTTTTGGGGTGAGAGTATCATATTCTTGTCTGCTCAGGAACTCTTCTCAATCTGCAGCAGCCCACGTTTCATGTATCACCATACATACATCACACACACACAACGAACTGACACTCAGAACCTGGAAGCAGACTGAGCCCTCATCTGCTCCGTGGACGTGGGCTGGGTGACAATCACCAAACCGCACTGATTGTGAACAGAGAGAGATAAGAGGGGGAGGAAAGGAAGGTGATGAGGAGGATGTATGTAGAGATGGAGAAATGTGTTGATCAGGATCAGGGTTGGCTGAAAGGGTGAACAGAGTTGAGGAGAGAAGGGAGCTTACGGAGAAAATGTTCCAGTCAGGAATGAATGCTGAACAAATAACCTCTTTAAAGTTGTGATATCGCTCATCACCTTTAAAGGACTATTCCCCACTTAACTTAAAGAAGAATTGACCCTCAAGTTGTTCTAAGCCTGTACGACTTTCTTTTTTTGTTGAACACAAAAGAAGATATTGTTGATTATCAAGCAGTTGCCGGTAGCCATTGACTTCCATAGTATTTTTTCCATATTACAGAAGTCAGTGGCTACCGGCAACTGCTTGATAATCAACAATATCTTCTTTTGTGTTCAACAGAAGAAAGAAACTCATTCAGGTTTAGAACAACTTGAGGGTGAGTAAACATTGACAGGATTAAAATTTTTGGGCACTGTTTTCAATATAATGGAGGACTGTTGCTGTCAAACTTCATAACGGTCAAAAAGCAGCATGAAAGTATAATATATAGAAGAAGCCTATGCACTACATTACCAGTTTTCTGAAACCATATGATAGCTTTGTGTGAGGAACATACTGAAATTTAAGTCAAACAACATTTCGCCAATATAAAAGAGACGTTTAAGTATTTCATAGACGAATACCATAGATATCATATCTTGAATGAATATTACTCCAAAATAACAATGACAGTGAGGGAAAAACCCTCTAAAAGCATGTCAACAAATCTGATGTCAGCAAAATGGATGCAGAATGCATTTCTGATCGGCTAGTTTTCTATTTAGCTTTAGGGCCAGATTTACTAAACAGGGCAAATTAGCGCGAGAGCACACTTCCAAAACAGCGCCAATGGGCATGGAAAATCATGCAAGTGATTTACTGACAATGCGCAAATTAAAGAACACAGACGCAACATCTCATTTACATATTGACCAAAGCAATATACCAAGCGCAGCGCAAATTAGCGTAGTAGCAAATAAGTAGTGCCGATGCTCATCGGGTGCGATCTATTTACGACACAGCCGCAAAATAGTTTAAATGGGTTATATGATGCGATTTCAATTTTTCCTTTCTCTTGGAAGTATTATAATCTCTTGGTGCATAAAAAAGATATGTAAAGTTGCAAAGACTAAAGTCTCAAATCCAAAGACTACATTGAAATAAAAATGTAAAGCCTGTACAAATATTAGAAATCGTGAATATAAATAGCCAAATTGGGAATCATGTAAAGAATTCAAATAAAATAAAAACGTTCGCTTGGCTGTTTCCTTATAAATGTCCAGAAATTGGTCAAGTTTTTCGTCAGGTGTCTTATCATCTTGGTTGTGACATTTCATCTCGGATGTAATAAGCGACGTACGAAGAACGGGCCAATGGTTTTATGTTTACGCGGCGCAATGCAATGCGAAAAAAAGACAGTATAAGTCATTATAATCCGTAATTATGTCCCCACTGGATGCAACAAATGCCTCGTTTATAATGGGTTTTAATGTTTTTGTCTCGTCGCTCCGGCCGGGACACGCCATCACAGTATGGTAAGGGGGGTAACATTTCCGTCACACGCTTGAGGTATTCGGCCAATCACAACACACTGAATAGCTGGC